TCAGGATGTGGGAGACTGTTGGGCCCATTGCTGAAGGCAGTGGTGGGCCCCCCAGGCAGTGGTCTGTGAGCACCTAGCACCTCTGTCACGATGACTTTTAATGAATGGCTCTTTTCTTAGCTGTAATGGGGGCTTTCCCTCTGGTGCTTGGAACTTCTGGAAGAAACAAGGCCTGGTCTCCGGGGGCCTGTATGACTCCCATATAGGTGAGTGTCTGCCCTGAGTCCCTATCTGGCCAGATGGGTTTTATAAGCAATAATAACGGTTTCATTTTCCACCATGAAGTGAAGGTTGAGGGTTAAGGGCAAGAGTGCTGGGCCAAAACTTAGGGTAGAAAGACAAGCCCTTCTCCTCAGTGGCAGAATTTGCAACGGGTGGGAGAACAGACCCAGGCTACAGCCTGCGGGGGGGGCGGGGCGGGTGACTACTGTTCCCGCCAGTCATCACCCCAATCCTTTCTGGCACTGAGTGGACTGTGTAGGGGCTGCTGGCCGACACCCTGCTTTCTACTTGGTGACAGGTTGCAGACCCTACTCCATCCCTCCCTGTGAGCACCACGTGAATGGCTCCCGGCCCCCATGCTCAGGGGAGGGCGGGGACACCCCCAAGTGCAGCAAGATCTGCGAGCCAGGCTACAGCCCATCGTACAAAGAAGACAAACACTTCGGTAAGCGCTTCGGCCGGAGACCTGCTGACAGCCTCCCCCTGCCAAAGGGAGAGAGGCCAGGCCAGCTGAGTCTTGAGAGCCAGCAACCCGCGTCGGAGAGAGGAAGGGCATTCATGCCTCTCTTGCGTACCTGCTGTGTGTTCTGTGTCCACCCTGAATTCCATCTCAGGAATGTTGCCTTCAAGTCAGACTCTCAGGAGTTGGAGGGGCCCAAAGCCCTCTTTTTACAGGGGAGTGGCCTGGCCTAGTCCTCCTGGGTCCCGCTGTGCCCTCCAAGGCCGTGGTCTCCCGCTTCTCAACTTCCAGATCCAGCTCAATCACTCCTCCCTTGGGGGTCCCTACTCATCACCACTGCCCCCAGCCTCCTCAACCCCACTGCAGGCCTGGCAGGTCCTCTAGATGCTCCGTCTTCCCCTGGTGGCTCCCGTGAATCAGTGCGTGATTGGCTGATTGGAGCTGTGGGAGGCACGTGTCACCCCACTTCCTGGTTCATTTGTCAGGATGTGACGCCTACAGCGTCCCCAGTGACGAGAAGGAGATCATGGCAGAGATCTACAAAAATGGCCCAGTGGAAGCAGCCTTCTCCGTGTATACAGACTTCCTGCTGTACAAGTCTGGTGTGTATTGACCCCTGGTGGCATCGTGGGCGGGGGGCACGCAAGGGAGGTCTGGGTTCAGGCGGGCCAACAGGGCTTGAGCAGAGGAGGAAGGCGGGGTGTGCAGGAGAAGGGCGGCGTCGGGCCTCCCCTCGGCCGGCTCTGCAGGCCCCTCTGCAGCTGGGCCGATGCTCACAATCTCTGCTCTCAGCAGCTGCCCCTGCTCTGCTCTCTTGCACCTGTTCGCCTTGTCTGCGTGTGCTGTTCAGATCCCCTCTCCAAGGTGTTTCTATTAATACATGGCCAATCGCTGCTCGTGGCACTCATCCCTTCACAGCCGGCTCAAGTGTCTTCTCGGGGAAGCCTGTCCTTGCCTCCCTGCAGCCCTGGCCCCGCCTCCGTTCACCTCCATTGCTCTGTCAGCTTACTCATCACAGTGTAACTGTGGGTTTTGGGTGTCTGGACGGAGCGGCTCTCCTGATTCGTCTTTGTCTTGGCAAAGCCTTGGCTTCATGCTGACCATCTAGTGGATGAGGAAGCAGGGAGCCCCTGCTGTGCGCCACGTGGTGGGGACTTTGGACTGCCCTCGGCCCAAGAGCTGTCTTAGAAACCCTGGTTCCTTCCAGATGAGCTGTCTGGGCTGACCGCTTCTGTCTCATGTACATTCTGCCAGATTGAAAACTCTAAAGCTCTCAACCCTTATAGACAAGGATTACACAAAGGAAGATAATTCTGGCAAGCAAAAAAAATAACTTGTTTTCAGTTTTTACTGTATTTTTCCCCATCGCCTTGTAGTCAGTCCCCTTATACTCTACTCCCCTGAGAAAAAATTATATTTGTAAAGCTGCTAGTTCTTAACACAGTCCTCACCCATGTTACAAAAGGCTCTATTTCCAGCTTGACCAAGTGAATCATGAGGGGCTAGCCGGGTTGGAGCTCTTCAGCCAGCCTCTCTCCTGCATCGCCTCCAGGGTGACCCCAGAGCAGCAATTAGCTCTTTCAGCCCCAGAAGGCTTTTAACAAACAAAATGTTGCATGGAGTTCTAGTTATGTGAAACATATCATTGGTATTTTAACATTGTATTTCTTAAATTAGAATTTAAGAAACTCTGGTTTTAAAGGCAACCAACAGGAATGTTTTGTTAGCTCCATTTTAATATTTACACAACATACCTGTGTGTGTTGGTCTTTGAAAAATACATTTAAATAACTTGCTGCCTATACAATCCTGTTTGAAGACGATGGCAGGCCTTTGGGGCCTCCTGGGCCCCATCTGCCCTGACGGGGGCGCCAGCTGAGTTGGGGTACACTGTGAGAGATGGGGCTGTGGCTGGGTCTCAGCCGGAACTACTTTTCCTTTCTCAGGAGTGTACCAGCACGTCACTGGAGAAATGGTGGGAGGCCACGCAGTTCGCATCCTGGGCTGGGGAGTGGAGAACGGCACCCCCTACTGGCTGGTTGGCAATTCCTGGAACACCGACTGGGGTGACAATGGTGAGTGGCTGCTCCCTTCCTGCTAAGCAGAGGGTGTTAAGAGCCAGAACATAGTTGTCATCTTCCCTTCCCCTGTTCTGCCCACTGCAGAACTCCAACCCTGGGTCTCAGGCTTAGCCGTGACCTTCCAGGTGTCCAGGTGTTAGGGCTGGGGGACAGCTTCTGACCCTGGGAGGGTGGCCGGGAGCCGGTTCCAGCTTCAGATCCCTGTGCCTGCCCATTCCCTTTACACCAGCTGCAGTGATGGGGCACATAGGCCTAATGGAAGTAGCACCCAGGGGCCCCGTGATGTGGATGGAGCTGGGCCCCTGGGCAAACAGTGGACCCCACAAGAGCACCCTGCTGGTTTGGTCCTGGTTTGGGGTCTGTTCAGGGGCTAGCTTGGTGACTTTGGCTCCTGGGTCTTTCAGGGATGAGTCTGAACATGTTGGCAAAAGCCAGCACTCAAGGCTCACTTTAAAGGTACCTTATTTTTGCTTTCTAGGCTTCTTTAAAATCCTGAGAGGCCGGGATCATTGTGGAATCGAATCGGAAATTGTGGCTGGGGTCCCATGCACAGAGCACTCCTCGGAAAGGATCTAACCTGCTGTGGGTCCTTCCAGCCAGTCCTGGGCAGTTTTCCCCTAAACGCAGCCAGTGGGCCTGGGGATGAGAAGGATAGGAATGTCTTTTATTCTTTGAGTTCAAGTAGCGTTCAAGAGATTGTAGACAAGGCCTGAAGGACTGGATTGGGCCAAACCTCGTGTCCACCACGCAAACTCTCTTCCAAGGAGACACACCCAAGGCCGGGCTACCTCCCAGCCATCCGATGGACTGTTGTCACAATGCACTTAGCCCACATAAGCCACTGCTGCAAGCAGAGCAGACCCTTCCCCAGGACTAGTGCTGCTCCGACTGTCACTGCAACCACCGCCACATCCTCCATCCTTCCCTGTCTGGCATCACCAGGGAGCAGGACAGACCTAGAGGGTTTGTAGACTTTCCAGGACAAAAGGTTGATTTCTTAACAAGATAGCTTCCCCTCCATCGGCAGTGCCTCCAAGCTAGTCTTCTAGATTCGGAAATAGGTCTACAAGAAAATTGATAGGGCAGCCCTTTGGGAGAAAAGCCTCTCTCCCAGGGCCCCTGCATCTGTCAGGCTTTGCAATGTTGCTAACCTGCTCTGATCTTGTCCTTGGCATGATTCTTTTTAAATAGAAGTTTTATTTTTTGTGCGCCTCAGCTGATCATGAGAATGAGTCTTAGCAGTTGGAAGAGCTGTGCTAGTTTTACAGACTGTCTCCTTAAACCCGGGTGGTCTTGATTTGACTGACCTACTGACTTCTGATACTACAGTGAAAATAGTTTGGGAGAAACCAGCCCTTGTTGTTTAAAAACCACTGCTTCCCCCTATTAAATCACAAGGAAAGGAATGACTGTGCCAATAAAAGGTTTCCTTCAATGGGAAGTGTGTGTGTGTGTATGTGTATGTGTAATCTTAGAGGTCATTTGCCTGCAGACTTGCCGCTGCCTGTCCCTGACCCCGAGAAGAACCGTGTTCTCGTGGATCCGGGTGCTCTTTAAACTCCGGTCAGGGCTGTCTTGCTTCGCAGGGAGGGAATGAAATGAGCACCTAATTTTGGCTTCTCACTGCTCCAGCGTACTTCCAGCCACAGTTCCTGTCTCTTTAGTTCCCTGTCACTCACTGACCCTTCTCTGTAAACACAGCTCCACAGTGCACCCCATGCATGATGAGCTCTGCCCTTGCTTAAAGTGCTAAGAACTTAAGTTTCCTTTTTTTTTTTAACTAACCACAAACCAGCGGACACCTAAGGTTTTCTATAGATGTGTATTGGTGATGTCATAACCCCAGTGTCCTGCTGACCAACCAGCTTTCTCGCTGCTCCCCTCCGGTGCTGGGACGGGGTGGGGTGGAGGCAGAGCCTGTGCGCCGAATTTGGAGTTCCCTCTGACTCTTCAGTTTACACTGCTGGTCAGTAACTTCCTTTGGATAGGCCTCATTAAGGGCCATAAGCCAACAAGTCCACCAGTTCTCAGGGACCAGGAAACTAGAACAGGAACCCGTCTCCCTGGCCTGTTGATACAAGTTACTTCCCTGCCCCAAAGGAGCTGGACTAGCTCCTCCCAAAATCACGCCGAGTGAGTTTGCCTTCTGCCGTGACCCAGAACACCCCGTGAACATTGTAGGGAAAACACGTGAAACTCATGACATTTATGAAGTGGTTAGCAAGAATTACCAAAGCTACAAATGTGTAACCATTTTATTAACATTTCAATTAGAGTATGTGCATATGCAGTTGATGTCCCACCCACTCTCACACTGAGTTGGACAATCCCACTTCCACACACTTTCCCCTTCCTCTGCCGTGTCCCCTGCGACTCCACCCTCACCTGGGAAGCCCGCACAGATGTGATAAATGGTGCAACAATACACATTGCAGGTCATCTCCACACTTGGCTTAAAGAGTCTTGTTAGGAAACGAAAATCCGTAAAAAAAGTTTATAACTGGGAGCAATATCAATACTTCAGTAAACCTCAAATTACCGCCACTGATTATTGCCTCACTGACAACCTCAACTATTACTTCCCTGAGGAAAACGTAAAACGTTCTACCGCGAGGAGGAATCGGGTAGGCTGTGCGCCAGGAACGGGCCCTGTGACGCACTACATTAAAGTGAGGGCGGGGTTGCCAATGAGGAACGCCCAATTTGAACTTCAGATGAACAATGTTTACATAAATATGTCCCATGAAGCATTTTAGATATTTATACCTAAAAACAAAGTTTATCTGAAATCCAAGTTTTGACCTGCATTTTATCTGGCAGTTTCAGTAGAGAAACACTTAAAAGGGAAGCATCTGCCAGAGAACTCTGGAGAGGGAATGAGGCCTAAGACCTTTGCGCCAGTGGGAGACAGTCAACACCACACAGCTTCACGGCTGGGAGGGACCTGAGATCACCTAAACCACACAGCAGCTCAGCAAGTCCCACAGGCCATGGCTGAGCCAGGAGGAGTCCAGTACGTCCACCTCAGATCCAGGTTCTGTCTACCATGAACTTCAGCAGAACTAGTCTTAGATTTCAAGATTCTTACCCTACCCTAGAGTCTCAAACCAAGTTTTGATGCATTAAAGGACTTGGCAGACTACTGCTGGGTCTGACTCGGAGCTGTAGGGTAGGTACGTGGCAAGTCCCTTCAGTGTGCTGAGGACTGAGCCTCACATGAACCGCCTGACTGAAGCCTCCATGCACCGAAACACTAAGCAGACTACGTCAGGTGGGAGCGGCTGTCAGAGGAGGGAAGTCTGTGTGGATGTGTCTGTAACAATGCAATCCAACGTTATTGCTGGGAAAACCTCAAATTCAAGAAGTCACTGAACATCACTGCCGCAAAAGAGACTAGACTACATACACCGAGCACTGACAGCTTCCAGAAAGCAGTCGAAGGCCCTACCACCTCTGACTGTCAGGCTGCGGGCCTCTTCAAACACCCTAGTGAGGGGCCACGACCCCCGAGTGCAGGCTGAGATCTCAGCGAGTCACTGTGAGTCGAGGCCGTCACCAACCTCGGCCGTCACCAACCTTGGCCGTGCTGGGCCCGGGGGAAGGTGAACCGCAGTGCCAGGAGAATCAGGCCGAGTAGTGCTCGGCTTTCAAGCACCTGAACACGGCTTTTGCCCTTTCTTGAGACCCCAGTGTATAAACGTACTTAAAAACAAAAGCTGAACCTAAAGCCCTAAATGGAGCTAAGAGAACTGGTCCGAAGTCCAGAAGGCTGACAGTTAGTGCAGGCTACAGGCTGCAGCGGGAGGTGACGCGGCCACTCACTCCTTCCCCGGCAGGCAGTCGTGCCCCCTCTCCCGGCACTGCTCTGAGTGGCTTGGTGGTGGCAGCAGCTGGCTGTCTGCCCCTCAAGCACTAACCCCATTCTTGAGTTCCTTCTCTGCCATGATCACCCTGGCTTTCAAGGGAGCTGCCCTTGACAAATGCGGAGTAATTCATTTGTTACTATAAAAATCTTCTCAAACACATCAGCCTGAAGGGAAGCCTAGTCTTCAACAATGGGGCCAAGGTAGTCCTGCTGTTTCTTCTGGAGAGTTAAACTCTCTTTAAAGAAGAAAATAAACCAGAACACCCAGAAGTTAATTCCTAGCCTTCATGTGCAGAGGACAGTCTGCATTCTTAGAAAACAGAAAAATTACCTAGCGCTATAAACTACAGCTATTACATTCAAATCAACCGAAGAAAGCAAAACGGTGAGAAAAACAGGAAACACACAAAGAAAATTCATTTCACTTTGCTGCTAGGGTGGGTGTTCAAAGTTGCTTCCAATTAAATGCATTCCATTATAATTCTAGCCAGGACCCATGCTAAGATCTTTCGGCAGTCCGAGTGCAATCACTTCCCCGGGCTGGCAGCACCCAGGGCATGGCCACCAGCCATCACGCCTGGGTGAGAACAAGCTACAAAGACCAGGTGCTGAGGATGATGTAATCTCTTATTCTTCTCAGCTGCTTGCCACAGTTTCCCAAGATCCAAGCCTGCAGATTTCGTACAGGATTAAAGCAGGAGGGGAAAAAGGGGGAAGCAAGTATCTGTCCTTGAAAAAAGGTCAACCCTTTCCATGGGGGAACGAATCAGTGTTCTCCGGTCTGGACATAGTCTTCTGTGACCTGGGACAGGGTGCTCACATACTGCCAGCTCAGCGCAGCCAGGAGCATGACAAATGACAGGTAAATGGGGGAGTAGTGGCTCCGGGAGATCAGCTGACAGCTGGGAAGGTTCTGTGTCCTGATCCTGGAGATGATCTGCCTGGTTTTACTAGAAGATGCGTCTGAGTCGGGGATTCTATGATAGATCTGTGAAAGAAAGAAAATATGGTAAGTGCTACTTACTGACTCCTAAGAACTTTATAAACACGTTCTGTGTTTACTTCTTATAACAGCCCCAAACAGGGAGAGATTGTGAGTCCATTTTACCAATGAGGAAGCAGAACACGGAAGTGACAACCCCGAGTCACTGCACTAGTAAGGCAGGATGTCATCCCAGGCCTGTGGAAGCCCAAAGCCCATGGCAGCAGGGAGGCCTGAGCCCTGCTGCACCGGGAGCTCCTATGGTCCTCACCAATCGCCTGTCCCCACAGCTCCCAGAGCTGGGAGCACAGCGCTCAGACTGAAGCAGAATACCACGAAGAAGGGGAATGACAGCAGGAAGGCTAGCGGAGGCAGCTTAGGACAAGCAGACTGAACCTGTGGGATGGGCAGCAGGCTAGATGAAGAAAGGCCGGAGCAGGAGCGGGCACTGAGACAACCAAGAATTCTCCCTGCACCTCCACACCTCCTACCTCTGCCCCCCGCAAACCTCTGAAATATCTCCTGAACCCAGTCTTCCTCCACATGCCACCCGCTACCAACCCCCAAAAGCACAGCTGCAATTTCAGAAAACAAAGAAATAAAGAATATGACTACAAGAATACACTAGTGCTGTCTAACATTTAATATTATGCTAGAAAGGACAACAGTATAAAACAGAAATGAGGATGAAAGTACAATTTCTTCTTTAATTTCTTTAAAAAAATTTGGATGATGGAATTGTACCTATAAAAACAAGGACTATAAGAATAAAAGTATAACGTCAAACTTCCCTTACACTCTTCCTCCTCAGTCACAGGCTGGCGTAGGTGCTTTTACACCTACTCTCACTATGCTGTTTTATAAGCCTGCATGTATATAAATGTATCAAGTGTCGTATATACTGCTAAGACAGACTACTTTAAACAAAGTAACTACTGCCCACAATCAGAGGCCAGCTTTGCTGGCTACCCTCTGTCCTCTGCTGCAGCTGCTCCCTCTTGCACCGTGTTTACCAGCAGCCAGATGGCGGTCAAACGTTTGGTGTGGCTGTGTTCCAAGAAAAAGTTATTTTCAAAAACGGGTGGTCAGCCAGCTGTGGCTGGCCTACCCTTACCCTAAATGCAACTGTCAATCACAACTAGGATTTAATTCCAAAGGTTAAGAAAAACACCAAATAAAATCCAAATGTTTAATACAGAATTGCCTAGGGCATTTTTAAAAAATGATTTTCTAAAATAAGTGAAAAAATAAAATGGCAAAACTAAAATATTCCCTGAACTACACACAGACTACGTCAAGTGTCCCTAATTCACAGAAGATGGAGAAGGGATGCCCAGGACGGCACCATGGCCGCCCCTTGGCACACACAGCGGGCTGGGTCCAGGACACGCCCAAGGACACCAGGCCTGGAGGACGCCCGAAGGCCTTATGTAAAAGGGCACCACATTTGCATATAACCTACTCATATCCTCTTGAGTACACTTAAAATAATCTCCAGATTATGTATATGTAATATCTAATATGTAAATGCTATGTAAATAGTTGCTATACTACATTATTTAGGGATAATGGCAAGGGGAAAAAAGTCTGTACGTCTTCAGTAGAGACACATCCACTGCAGATTTAACTACACAGTACATGTCAGCAACAAGGTAACTTTTATTTCCAATTATTTTTGACCTGTGGTTGGTTAAATCCTAGATGTGGAACCTGAGGATACGGAGGGCCGACTGTGTTCAGCGTCAAAAGGTTAATTCAACCCCTTAGAATCGTGAACAGCATAGGCTCTGCAGTCAGCACGACCCGGGTCCAAATTATAGCTCCAGCGGGGTTAGTGCCTCAAGTGCCCTTGATCCTAACAGCACCAGCCCATCCGGCTGCTGTGCCAGGCACACAGTAAGCCGCAAATGAGTGCTGCCTATGTGGTGAACGGGACAGTTCTGAGTCTTGCCGGCAAAGATTTTTTGGTCGATGGCTTAACACTTTCATTCAGTCACTAAAAGAACTTTAGGATTTTAAAAAAATTCAGTCTTCTCTTTTACCCACTACAGGTGCCTCTGGTATAAAAACTGAGGTTCAAAGCTAGTCAGATAAAAAAAAAAAAAAAGGAAGGAGCTACAAGGAGTACGTGCCATATGCAACAGAAATCAGGGGAATGATGGCTGTGCAGAACTCGGTCGGGATGAAAGCTCCATCACAAATCGCATTCCCATCGGGGCGTAACCAGGAGACTGACTGCGGGGTGCGCAAAACCACCGGCAGTGGTGAGTTCTGGGACGGGGGAGGGTCATTTTATGGTTTCAGACACTCCTTAGTGTCTCAGACTTCAAAAAGATCTCGAGGCCTCCACTCTCCAGGTGGCCAAGTCTCCAGATGTCGCCCAATGTCCCCTGCAGGAAGGGGGGAAGCAAAACCACCTCCATCTGAGGACCACCACTCTAGGGCTGGCGATCAGCGTTAGAACTAAAAAGTTGTTCTTTTGAACCTAGCCATATTTTATTAGAGATTTGACCTAAACCAGCATGTTTTATTTTACAGGATAGTTTTGGTATGTGAAATGGGATCTGCATTAGAAAACATAGAAATAATTGCAACTTGATGGTTTTCCTCTGCCAAAATTTCCTACTGCGGCTTCTCAACTGAGGCCCATGCTGTAATGGGAAGTACGGACTGCGGTCAGGAAGTGAGGACTGGGGTCCAAGAGCCACCGGTCAGATAACGCATTAGCATTCACAAGACTTGGCCACGCACTCCTCACCTGTAAACAAGCGGCCAGGTTGGTCCAGACCTAACATCATCTAGTTCAAAAAACACGATTCTACTTAGTTCCAGCCTTGCCTCACTGAGCTCCTCTAACCAGAGGTCTGTGCGGCTCCGAGCAACCAGCTAGCTCCCGGTGTGTACACTCCTCTCCTAATCAGGGCCACAATCTTATCTCTTTATGCCACAGTACGGTGAGTTGCTATGATCATCCAACAACCAAAGGTAAAATGTTTACATAAGTGAGCACTGTTTAAATCATAAAAATAGTTACAAATTACCTACGTAGTTGAATACAACCCACCTCTTCCATATACTGGTATATTATAGCTTTGACAGCTGGCATGTTGGTGGCGTCCATCATTAAGGTCACTGCTTGTCCTTTCCGAATCTTCACTACCCCTTTGAACACCTGCTGATTATTGTAGCAGGCAGCCAGAGTGGCAATGGCCATTACCTAACAGGAAATAGGGAAGAGGGAAAAAAAACACACTAATTCATTTCGCTTCACAAAACAAAAGAAGGAAACGGCACTGGAAGCAATCAGCACCGTGAAAAGGTCACAAGGCCTTCTTTAGAATGAGAAAGAGCCGCCAAAGAGCTGTAACTAACCAAGGAAAAATACCCACGAAGAAAGTATGTCAAGACTTTTGCCTTTCCCACTCCTCCCTTTCTCAACAGCAAACATCAATCAGGTGGTGTCTGCAGTCTTCAATAATTCTGTGGTTTAAACACCAAAGTTCTTTCGTATTTGGAAGCAACAAACACAAGCCAATGACACAATTTCCATGCTAGGGCAATCAGTCACTAGATCTGAAAACTAATCTCAAGAAAATAATGCCTGATAAGATTTTTCTATTTTGCTTTTCTTTTTATTTTTCCTACAATGAAGATAATAATTATACACTTAAAAAAAGTAGCACAGGGGAGGTGGGTAGGGGACAAAAGAAAGAAAAGAGAAGGTAGTTTCCCATGTTCAAAGGGAAATGCTTTCTAGGATAAATGAAAACCTAGGTCAGGCACACAGGTCTCAGTTCCAACAACCATTCAAATTCAAGATTGCCTACTAGGACATGATCAAACCAAGCTTGCAGATCAGTTAACTCCTATGCCTTTCTTCACTTAACTGAGTTAAAAATGGAATTGGTAAAGGCATTTTAAAAGTGTAAGCTCCTAGGATATCAAGGAGCTAGGTCCATAGGATCAGGTTCTGTTAGCCCGAGTCTAAGAAAATAACAGCAAATTTTAGGTGTTAAGACTTTTTAGTTACTACAGCCTCACCTCCATGGCTCTCCCCATAAACCTAGGACAGGAGTAGACTTCACATCAAGGCTTAGCCGAGTGTGATGGTTGAGGCAAAGGGGAGGTATTATGAAACACTGCCTGCCCCCAGCAAATAAAGAAAAACTAGAGTCATCTTTTTCAAGAACCATGCTCCTGAACACAGCAGACCAAAGCAGTAGTTGCACTGCACCCGCCCCCATCACCCCCACTACAGCACTCCCTTTGGCCTCCCTCTCCCACATACAATGAGCACAGCCTTGTCCCATACCTGGGGAATAGCGCAGAAGTTAAACACACTTTGGTTTCTAAGTCTGGAAAGGTAGGTGATGACATCTGGAATGTGGTGTAGTGCATTGGTTATAAGTTCATTCAGACACTGCACGGCCAAGTCGATATTCTCTGGCTTAGCAAAATCACTCAACTTCTTAACGTACTTGCTCCAAACCTAGACAGATGAAAAGATCAATAAACAGGTCAAGATGTGCACAAAGGAAAAATGCTCAAGCACTATGAAAAAATCTTTTGAGAGTAAGAGCTATGATATAGTTCTTTAGCTGCTGACTCATCTTTCACCAAGATCAAGTCCATTTTAAACTATACCCAGTGGGTATTTATGACTACAAATCAAGATCTAATTACAACCTAAGAGTACACGAAGTATTTGGGAAAGTGTCCCTTTAGGACAATTAGTGCCATGGGTATTGAGCAATACCTTGTAACCTCAGACTAAAGACATCTCCTATGTCCAGAAGGCATTAGTCTATTGAAAAAAATAACCAGATATATACAAAATTGACTACAACAATTCAAGGTAAATATTCTTAAGTTTGCCAGGCTTCAAAATAATTAATGATTAGTATCACATTCTCAATTCTAGTAAGAATGCTACTGAATGAGCACACCTTGGGAAAAAGAGCTAGATTTATACACTAAGAACAAACGTTACCTCCCTGGATCTTGGAAACTTGAAAGTGAAATAACATCGTCAATTTGAGGTTCATTGATATTTTTTAATATTTAGAGGACTCTCTGAAGCTAGAAAGTAACTTACTTTTATTCTTGGATAATTCTTAAACTTCCTAAAGAATAACACTCCCCCAAAATAAATGAGTAGGCCTAAAAGGACTAAGAAATTCTATGGAAAGTCAAATTTGTTATCCATTTTTAACCCGTACCTCAACCCACTGAGATTGATCGTACTTGATCGTTCTGCAGAACCTGGAGAAAAGAGGTTCCAGGCATCCATTTACCACCCTCAGCAATGATTGACACCTGGCCAAATCTTGTTCCATCTGTATGTGCCCCCACCCAAGCCCAGTGTTATTTTTTTTAAAGCCCTGATACATCAGTTTATCCACAAATACTTCATTATGGATTTCTAGAAGACTAGGAACCTTTCTTATACATCTATCTTATCACATCTAAAAATTAACAATAAATATAATACAATCTAGTTAGTGTTCAAATGACCCCATTATCTACATTTTTCTGTCCACTTGATTTATTCACATAAAGATCTAAACAAATCCATATATTGCATTTGGTGGGTGTTCCTTAGGTCTATTCTGTCACTTCTCATTCCACTCCACAAGGAGGGGCCCAATCCTGGAAGAGAATCCTGGCTGGTCACTGTCCAGTGCAAAGGGGTGAGTCCACTCCAGCTCCCACAGGTGTCGCCATGCCCCCGTGGGCTCACCCACTGGAGAACAACCCTCCCCGTTTCACCTGTTCTTCTCCAAGGGGCCCACCCTGCTGTCCAGGGGTTACCAGTTAGCTCTTCCGGGGCCTCTCCTGTTTGCAGGTGTGTTAGACACCCCGTGGCCACCCTGCTGTCTCCCGCGCAGGCTCTGGCAGCACACAGGTTTCGTCTGTGGTGTTGGTGTTCTGTCTGTGCCCACTCGTGTTTTGGAGTCCTGGCACAATGTGTCACTTAGTGATTCGGTACATGTTGTCCATGAGCTGGATTCTGGAGGTTTAGTTTAGTTTTCTTTTTTTTTTTTTTTTGGTCGAGCTGCTTTCCTCTTTTTTTGTGTGTGAGAATTTGGGAAAATCCGAAAACTAAGCTGCTGCTGCCACCATTACCATCTTCACGAAACTTACAATTCTAGCTGGTAAGTGCAGAAAGGATGATAGAATTAAGATTGCACCATTTGGTATCTCCAATGAAAATGGATCTAGACAATGACCACCAAGGAAAAGAAAAAGAACCCATAACTTATAGGAAAAATGAAGTTAAGTGGCCATTAGATTTTTCAAGAGCCCGTTGAAAAATCTGCTTCTTCTTTAAAGCAGAAGAAAATGGTAGTAAAACGTTTAGGATCTCCAACAATGAGAGCTAAAAGCTTTATATTCAAAGAAACTGATCTTCAAATACAATGTTTATTATAGTTTATACAGGATTTAAATATACAAATATATTGGTAAGCTATTATCAATATATGTAAACATAGCAAATTATGTTCTGAGGGATCTTTTCCATCTACCAGGGCAGGACCTTCAGGAAACAGAAATGACCAGAGACACCAACATAAAGATGGGTGGTGAGCACAAAACCAAGCCTACGTAAGTGGAGTGAGGGAAATATTATAGTAGGTAATGGCTATCTATTATGACAATTTAGCTAGAAATACAACCATAAAAAATAGGGAGTTAGGCTAGCATATATAAAAAATATCAGTTATTGTTAGTAATCATACTTGGCTGAAAATCCACATTAACTTTTGATTCCCCCCAAATTTAACTGCAGTCATCCCTTGGTGTCCACGGGAGACTGGTTCCAGCATTCCCACAGATACCAAAATCCAAGGATGCTCAAGTTCCTTGTGTAAAATGGTGCAGACTAATGCATACAGTTGGCCTTCTGCATACTTGGAACTGGTATGCAGAAGTTCCACACCACAACTGAAAATACTGCTGGTTGAACTGTAGGATTCAAAACCCAAGGACACAGAGGACCGACCACATATTTACTGGAAAAAAAACAAACAAACAAGGGTACAACCAGACCTGTACAGCCCAAACCCGTGCTGTTCAAGGGTCAACTGCAGTTCTGTCTGTGCTTCTATTTCACAGCAGTGGGGCGGGGGCGGGACGGGAGGCAGTTCATAGGATCGCAGGGCTGGTGTTTACTGCAGAGGCGGTCAGATAGGCTGGACGAGCACTGGGCTGACCCAGGAAGCTGCGGCTTCCCTTCAGGGGCGACCATGGACTCAGTGGCCGTCCTTAGAACCCTCATCCCTTCTCTGAGCCATGGTGTCAAAGAAGGGTGGTCAAGAGCTGTTCTCAACCCTGGCTGCATAATAGAATCACCTGGGAAGCTTGAAAAACTGATGTCTCAGCTCAGGGTAGTTTTAATATGGATTTTCCTCATTGAGAGTAAAACTAATCATCTTTTCAGATGTTTAAGGATCATTTGCATGTTTCTTTCTGTGAGCTAACTGTTCTTATCTCTTTGCCCATTTTTCTACAGGGTGCTTGATCTTTTTAACTTTTAGCAGTTTTTAAAAATATTTAAATAAATAAAATATTAGGAATATTAACCCTTTATCTGCAGTGTAAGTTGCAACTATTTTCCCACTTTGCCACCTGCCTTTTTTCACTTTGATAGCACTTGGTTTTACAGACTCACAGCAACAGAAATCAGACTGATGGTTGCCAGGAGGAAGAGGGGTTGGAGGACTGGGTGGAGGGATCCAGCATCACATGTTCATTGGTGGTCACAGAACAGTCACGGGACGTGAAGTACACCACAGGGGGTGGAGTCAGTAATACTGTAATAACTGTGGGTGGTGCCTGGGGGGCTCTGCAAACAGCTGGGGGCCACTCTGTAAGGCACATGACTGTGTAACCACTGTGCTGTGGCACCTGAAACTCATACAAAATAATATTGAATGGAAACTTTAAATAAATAAAATTTAAAAATAAAAACACTTGGTTTTAGGAAACTATTTTATGGAAAGTAAAAGGTAAATGCTGGAATAAAATCAGCAAATAGTCATAAGATTTTCTAGTTTTCCTTCTAAATAAAAATCAGTGTCAAAGCCTTGCCTTTCTCTAGTTTTTTAATTGTCACAGATCAGCTCTTGTCTGTTAAGGTGAACACCTGTAGTTCTCGCCTACCTAGCATCCTTTCCCTCTTCTTGCCCTAGAATCCTTCTTGCTTTGTGGGGAATCCACTGTGTGTGTGATGGGCAGTATGACCCGGGTCTGTATGGACATACCACTCAGCCTTGGGGTTCTGTAAATGATTAAGGGATACAGTAAATGATTTGTAGGAACCAGCCCTATGAATCAGGCCTACCTAAGGACTTTTTGTTAAGCTAGTAGGTGGAGAGTCATGGGTTATTGCACCCAACACTTGGTGAATGCCTGTCAGGAGAGAAAGAAAGGGCGCAGAGCCTGATTACATGGTCTGAACTCCTGGATTCAGCCAGTCTACCTACATAAAAAAAGCTGAATCTTAACTTGCTTTATACATTCTTTTATGTTGCTTAAGGTAGTTTGATCTGCCTGTCACTTGCAACCAAAAGGGTTTAATGGGATTTGTTTTCAGAAAGTATTTAAAATTATCTTTCCCCAAGTCCCCTGGGTTTGTTACCTCTTGAGGCCAAAACTCTCTTCCTTCTTGCTGATCTTCCAGATAATCACGAATGATGTTTGTTTTCTGCAGAAACAGGCCCATAGAGTTGGAACTCGCTGTGTCTTCACCGACTACAGGGTCTTCTAACTCCGAGGCCGAGAACAGACGAGAAAGGCCAATTCCCACCAGCCCAGCAACATAGTGACAGTACTGTAAAAGATTATTTTAAAAGTACTTCAATGATAAAAATTTTACTAAAGTGATAGTGCTAGAGATCATTAGCTACAAGAGAACAGGTTTCAAACAGAATGTACAAGATCTCATTTTGATTAAAAACACAAATGTACACTAGGGGCAGGTAAGTAAAAACATCCAGGAAGGACGTGCACAAAAGATTTAATAGAGGTGACCTCTGGCTGGTGTGATTTATTTTTTTACTTGTATTTTCTGTATTTCTACAATGTGCATGCACTGCTTCTAGAATTAAAGTTATTTAGAAAATAAAGTAGTACAAAAAAACCTTTTTGATATCCAAAAGTGGGAGTAAAGGCAATGCGGGAATCAAATATATTCTAATGGAAGCTAGAATAGTGAGTTCAATCTTGAAGATATTGCGAGATCTTGCAGCATCTCAAAGTCCTCATTGCACAGAAGAACAAAGTGCTACTGGGATGTTCTTGACATGCTTTAAGCACTCCATACAGGTCTGGGCAAAAGCAGCATTACACTTGTGAATATGTGAAACACAGTTTATCATCATTTGTTAATTACTATATTATTTCCCTTACAAACAACTGTAAACCTACTTTTGCCCTACTTTGTGTATTCAATCCTCACAAACATCTTAGGCAGTACATACAACTATTATTACCATTTCACAGATGTGGAAACTGAGGCAGAGAAGTCAAGTAACTTGACTTGCCCAAGATCACTCATCTGCGAAGTCAGAGGCTAGCGATGCAAAGCCAGGTCCTCTGGCTTAAGGGGTAGGCTTTAACAACTTTGCTAAAACTGTCATTCTCTACAGAGATCTTAGTAAACTAATAATTACCATAGAATTTTTCCCATAAAAGTGGTTTGTCACAGCTATCCTCTCCTGAAAAGAGTATTCCAAGCAAGTTAATGCAATGCGTTTATAAAATAAATGTCCATTAGACAAAGCCAAAGAAGAATAGAATTGAGGGTGGGAGGTGGGGGTGAGTGGGGCAGGGGAAAGATGGAGACAACTGTATTTGAACAACAATAAAAAATTATTAAAAAGTAAGTAATAAAATAAAATGAATGTCCATCAGAGAATTTAAGAAGTGTAGAGTAGTTAAAGAAGGTACCTCTGGAGAGGAGTTATGCAAAGACAGAAGAGTAAAGGGTCTCTGGTTGCAAGTAATACAATGCCAGAGACTAGTCAAGGGCACAGTGAAATGGCAAAGAGAATATTCTAGGAGAGGAAGATTCTGGAAAGAGTAAAGATATGCTGAAATTAGAGAGCAAGAAATAAGCTGTGGACAACTACAAAAAATTTTAAAAGAATTACTACAAATTAAAAAGCATTAGTACATCCACAGTGCTGTCTAAGGAAAAATATGTCTTAAGATAGTGTCTTTGTTAATAAATATTCCTGGAATAGAAATATTCAACTTTCTCCAAAGTTGAAGGAAAAATAATATCTCTCCAAGTAGTCAGTTTTATCTGATCAGAACTTTCACTCAACAATCTATAATTACATTTCCTGTAAAGCTCCACAGCAGAAAAGGAAGTTACTGTGCAGAGAGCCAGTGTTGGTTCCTGGCCAGGAGTCTCAGCTTTAACTTTAAACTCCTAAACTGATATCCCAGCAGCAGTCACTTGCAGCACTGGCTAGCTAACAGGGAGCACCTACCAGCAGTTCCGAAGATGTTGCCATCAAGTTTTGACTTGTGCTTACTCAGTGAGTATGTATCAACAGTAGCCTTTTGTGATCCTAACCTAAATACTATTACAGATACAAAATGCATACACAGTTTTGATGTTTAAAATGTCGTAGTTTCCACTGGGGTGAGGAATTAAGGCTCACAAACATCATTCCTATTAAAAGCGGTGAGCCCCTTCCCTCCTACCTGGTATTTTGATGTTTTGTTTAGTCCCCTTATCAATTAGGTCACTTTATCTAGAGAAGCACTCTCCCAGCCTTGAACTCCTCCCCAGTCAATAGCCTTCACAGTTGCTGGTCAGGAATGAACTCTGGCCGAATGAAAGCCACTCCCACATAAATATGTTTATAATCACAATACGAATTGGGGAATGGGGTCATGTCAAGAAACTTGGAATATCTCATATGGTCTTATTTCTGTTAAGGAGATGATGGGAAAGAAAGAAGTATTAGAGAGGTGCTCACCCCTCAGCATAATAGATCCATAATTCAAAGTTAATACCTGTGGATGTTCATGAACTGCTTTTGTTTCTCTGGAAACGGCATATAATTTAGCAGTTTAAAAAAGTAATCTTGTGTTAAGATGGAACTGGAAATAACTCAAATACTAAGTTTTATACACATACACACTTGGTGGTGAAAAAGAAAACAACAAAAAAAACCCCCCACATTTTTAATATTTGAAACTAATATCTTTACATGACATGAAGTAATTTAGCCATTTACTAAAATTTCCCAGCAAGTCGGAGACACTTTTATAAGCTTAATGTCTGTACCTCCAGGATAAGTTATATCTACTTTGACCTAACTTAATAGTAAACTCTCTACAACATAGATTATTTCCAGCATTAAACTATAAACCTTTACTTAGTGTTTACGATGAGTCATTCAAGCAAAACAGACGGGTTGTAAACCAGGAAGCCTGGACCTGGCAGACAACCGCTTCCTCCTCCTTGACTTCACGGTGAGGACTGCCAGCTCCGCCCCACGCACCGCACACTGCTTCCGAGGGGCACTGACCTTGTCCCACTCCTGTTCCGATGTCACGTGCTTGTCCAAAAACTCTGCCATCCCATGTCCCATTTTCTGGCAAATGTCGGCAATCACTGTTTGATATTTCACAGACAGATTTCGAAACTCAAGGGAGATCTGAAATGGACATATAAAAAACAGAACACGTGAAATATGTATTTACCCTGGGAACCAATGTGGTACCTAGATCATAAAGCAAAGCAACAGTAGAACTTGCTAATTAAGACTCCCAAATGATTCATCTATCAGCCTATCGTCTAGATTACTCTAGTTTTCTATATTCTGAATAATAAACCCAACAAATTTTATAAATACTGAAGTGGAAGGGTCTAAAAATGGTAGTTTCTAGACTCAAAAGAAGATCCCAAGTCTCACTATACATTCATTTTTCTAGTAAATGAGATGCTTCAACATAAAACTGGGCATAAATGCAAGAATTGGAGGAAGAGGGCCTCATTTCAGGCAAAGCCCTTCAGAGTGTTAAAGTCTCTGGCACGTCCCGCGCAATGAGCATTGTTTGGAGACTGGGGACAGACAGCCAGAAATGCGTGTTCCTACAGCGTTTACATTCTAGCAGTCAGCAAACCGTTTTCTATCATGAGTTTCCAAATGTATGTAAAGAAGCTCTAGTGTCTTCCCCGCTACAAGGCCATGCTTTGGAACTCAATTTAGTTCATTCTCGGGCATGCTACTCAACACTTTTTTTCCCCTACAGCCCAGGCTCTGATGTAAAAAAATACTATTGATGTTTTTAAAATTCATTGCTACTGCACAAATATCTTAAGTTCAAAGAGGTGTTTATAAATTATGAAAATACAATATAAAAACACCATGAAATTTCTTAAATAAAATGCTGTAAAATAGCATTAGACCCAACACACAATATTGAAGACAGTGACTAGACTTTGATATGCATCAAAAGTGTGAGAAAGACCTGGTCTGTGTTTACAGAAGAGTTAGAAAACCTTCCTCAGGAAACTCCTAAATTTAAGGACCTAACAGAAAACCAGCTGGCTGCAGGGCAGCAAAGGGATCAGCAGCCTCAGTTACTTCAGAACTACTCTAAGAACATCAACTGTTAACTCCCCCAAAATCCGTAAAAATCAACCCAATCTCGCCAGAACTCTGTTCTTTCCAGAGCAGTTGTTCCAAGCCCAGCCCAGCCCAGAGGTAATCCCTGTGCAGGGCTACAACAAATGAGCTAGTCCACCAAAGGTTCTTCGTCCCCGAATCTCCCCAGGACCTGCTCTTCCCCCAGATCCTGGGCCAGGTCCGTTCTATTTACAAGGGAGGAAAGGCCAGGGAGGTGGGGGAGGAGGAGCAGCTTAGACTCTGAAAAACTCCAAAATAAACATTTCCTTGCTGAATTTGAACCATCTCCTCCAACAACTCTGTGGTACTTGTTACATAATCATATAAATTTACAAAATGAAAACAAAAATATCTAGGAAAGGGTGTCAGTGAAGAGCTGTTTTCCCAGAAGCCTGAGGGAGGGAGGGGAGCACTAAGGACTCACTCCAAACTCGGTGCTCATTTCACACGATCTTGATAGTAACGGGTTCTGCCCAAGAAAGCCAGCCAGGAGGACCTAGTTTTTACTCCTCCAGGTGATTCTGTTTCACAACTACCACAGATTTCCTGGGCGTTCCAACAGTGAACATTTTCCTCTACTCGGGGTGCATGTTCTGCTCAGGCCAGCGCAAGCACAGAGGCCGCAATGGCGGAGGCATGTGAGGAAGTTGCTCGGGAGGAGTCAAAGCCCTCTGGAGAGCCTTAGTGCGTGGAGGAAGGCTACCAGGAGGAGTCCACTAGTGTAACGGAGAAAGGTGTGAGCTCTAATTCTTCACTTAATTATTTTTCATTGATTCTTTTCCTTTTGTCTTCTTTTATATTGTATTGTACTGTATCAACTCCACTGAACTATTCTTCACAGACTTTTTGGTTTGTGTTGTACTGTGCTTTTGGCTTTGACACTGAAAAAATATTCTCAATAATTTGAAATAGGCTTCGCTTCAAAGGAGTCTTTCTCAAAACATTCTTTTGTAATGGGTGGATCCCTCCCTCTCCACTCAGAAACATAGATTTGTTTCAATAGCAAGAGCCTAAAAATTCTGGCAGGTATGTATAAATACAGAAGGGCTCCTTTGGGTCATTAGGAACATGAGACTTCGCTAAATCAAAACTTTATTTATAAGATATGAAAGAATCACTTATTTGTGTGATAAGATGTGCAAATTCCAGAAAAGCAGGGCCCAGTCACATATATCACATAAACTTGTGGGATTTTCTAAAGCTCAAGATTTTAATTATAATCCACTTTACTCCAACAGAATGGATTAAACATCCAATATTTCCAGAATACTTAGTAGGTACCAGGCATTATTCCAAGTACTTTACACATATGAACTTATTCAATCCTCACAGTTCTAACTTTACAAATAAGAAAACTGAGACACCAAGAAGTTAAGGAACTTGTCCAACACCACACAGCTATAAGCTACAGAGGATCATCCTGCTTCTGCGTTCTCCCCCCAACTGCTCCCTACAGCACAGCCAACTCTCCCCATGGTGAGCAGCCCATCCGTGCTACTGTGCTGAGGATACCCAGGACGCCAGCAGTGCTGCATACCTAAGCTGCGTTATAGGCAATAGGTTTTGTGGGCTGGCTTGAGATTCCCTCTTTATGCCACTAGAACTTGAGTGCGTCTTTCCACAGGAGTAAACATGGGACCAAACACTACAGCAATAGTTATAGTAGCTAACACGACTCTAAGAGCTTTATCTGTATTAACTCTTAATCTTCACAACAATACTATGAGGTAGGTACTATTATTACCTCTCTGTTATAGAAGGAAAACAAAACAAAACAAAACAAAACGAGGCACTGGCAGGCTATGAACTAAGCACCAGTAAATAAGTGGGAAAGTTGGGATTCCAACCCAGGCAGTCTTACCAATCACATTATATTATGCTGCCCACAGACTGCTTATTTAACCGTTCTCTATAAATGTGCAGGCTGTCGGACACTACCATCAATTATAAACTCTATAAACTACATGCAAAAGAGATCTGTAATTCCACTACCGTTGGGAAGTCCTCTAGCACTTGTCGATCCTTCTCCTTGCTCTCCATGAACCGCCAGTCAGGTTCATAAAGGTAAGTGTGAAAGTTGTGTAACAGTGGGATCTTTTTCTCTATACTGATGGTCATATCATCTTCCACAGTGTCCAGAGCTCGGAGAATCAGATAAAATATGCACACTGCATGGCTGTAAAACATGGAGAAGTATTAATATACAAGAACAAACTCAAAGATATTTTTTTCAAAATAGCATCTCATTTATGCCAGGTCATTTTGTAAACCCTCCTACACTCTGCAGAACTATGAAAGAATTTCCAAAGCCTTTCATACTTCAGATATCTTGGTTTTCCTTTCTTATAGAGCAACAATGGACTGATATAGTTTATTTATAAAAATAAAAAACCTATCAGCTGGATGTCACTACTCCACAATGAATTACAATTAACTAATGTAGAACAACTGTACAAAGGCCAACAGACCAAATGAATAGATGAAACCAATACTTTGCAGATAAAAAAATAAAGTCAAGAGATACAACTTCTCATACAAATACTATTGTACATTAAGGCAATTGGTCTAAATTCACGTATGCATGTAATCTGCACAGAGCAACTTGAGAAGAATTACCCCAGAATACTACAAATATAAAGCAGCATAAGAAAAATTCATGACCTGTTCAGGGACAGGTTCAGCTGCCAAGACTAAAAAAAGTGAATAAACAACCCCCCCCTTCCTTGAAAGAGCTGGGCCAGCAGACATCATTAGGTGGCAAGGTGCCCGGAAGGGCAGTCTGAAGTAAATACATGGGCGTCCCAACAGGGAACTTCTCCTGTACTCAAGTGGTGCATGTTGTGCTTTAACCACAAGCACACAGAATGCAACGGTTGGGGGCTCTGTCAAAACAAAGTTGCTCGGAATGACACAAAGCCCCCTGGAAAGCTTTCCTCCCCACGCCAAAGAGAGCTGCCCCTGCCACTCACCGCATTTCTTCATCCAGCGCCTGGATAACAGCTGAGAAACTGCGACTAGTCTGATGCAGATACTTGTAGCAAGTTTTCAAGCTGCTGCTGAGCGAGTCCTGCGGGCAGAGACACACGGAGGTAGCAGAGTTCGAGGAGCAGGAGTGGGACTGGGGCAGGCGGCAGGCAGCTGTCTGGCTCAGTAGCCGAACGCAGACACCCTCTCCCCGTGGCCACTCTTTGGAGGGCCAGCAGCGCGGGGGACTACCTGTGCCCCTGGGCGCGGCCGCGGGGCTCAGCACCAAGGTCCGTTTGAAGAGGGACATGGCCTTGGTGCCGCAGGCGACTGCGGCCATGAGAAACGAGGCTCTAGCGCCAAGTTTTTCCTCCATAGACCTAAGCGGAGCTGGAAGACGCCCACCGAGGGGGCGGGGCGGGGCGAGCTCTCCTGCCACTCTAAAAGACTCCGGACTGGCCGACTCCAAGCGCAAGTCCGCCCACCTGCCCCTCCCCACCCCACCCACTGCCAAGTGAGGTCCACAGAGCACAGGGACAAGGGCCGGCCCCTTGGCCACCCCGCGCCGCCCCCCCACGCCCTGCCCCTGCCCCGCCCCGCGAGCAACCCTTTCTCCCCAGACCCCAAAGGTAGCTAAACCATGCAGGCCTCACTTGCAAGAAGCTTGCTTTTACTTCCTGCGACTGCATCTCTCCTTGATCAAACTTAAGTCAGGCTCCCTTGAATCCTCCACGTCCGCACTTGTGTGTCTGTGTCTGCATCACCCAATTTTAGCAAAAGTCCTAAACTCATTTGGCCAAACTCCCCAAACCCGGATACCCGATCAACCTCACTCACTATCTGACGGGACCCCTCCTCTGACGGCCCATTGCCCTGGCCTGCCTCCAGCTCCCTTTAGGTCCTTGCACCAGAAAGTCCTCGTCCCAGATGTTTCCTTACAATTTTTCCCTCCATTCTGCCAGCTCCTTGACTACGAATCCCCACTTTCCCCAGTACTAGGAGTTAGAGAAGCCCAGTTCTATAACTGAGGTCTCTCTCCCCTATTGCAATAGCTTTTCTGAATAAAATCTGTTTTTACCGCTTTAGCTACTGTTCAGTTGCATTTTCTTTAACACCTAGTAAACCTCTACTAGTCTCTGGAAAACTATTTTTCTTTTTAAGATTTCTATTAGTCTTTTCCTCTGCAAATCTGAACTGTAACTAGCTGCTTTCTTAACTTTATTATTCCCTAAGGAAAACAAGAACTGTTTTTCCCGAAACAAAACAAAACAAAACAAAACCATATTCTGATATGCAAGCGTATCAGAAAGAACTACTGTGTTTTATGGAGACTTAACATTTTAGAAGTTTTATGTTTACAGGAAAACTGAATCAAAAGTATAGAGTCCCCCCCCAAAAAAGTGAGGAGTTCCCATACACCCTCCTACACACCCCCAATCTCCACCACTCTATTTTTAAAAGAGAAATGGAAAATTGAATTATCTAACAGGGGAGTGGTTAAAAAAGTACAATACGGCATATGCACCAGAAATCCCATAGTCACATTGCAGTGGTAACCCTGGTGTGTGGGGGGCCAGGGAGGGTTTTTTTTTAAATCACACAATCAGGAGAATTTAATTTTATTGTCATGTCGAATAAAAATTATTAGTAAAAATATATACTAAGCATCTTATATTAGAATCAGATATTCAGTAAAGGTATGATTAATAAACAAACACATTCATAGAGTATTTAAAGATGATTCACCAACTCCTTCCCAGGACTCCACAGTAAAATAAAAGAAAGAGAAGGAGAGCTGTCTGCTAAGCTCCCTGCCAGCTCTTCACACCCACTGCCGTGACCAGGCTGCAGGGACTCCTTTCCGCACTGCCACATGTTTACTCCTCAGTGAAATCGAATGGTGTGGAGGCTGATGTTTCACTGAACGCAATGGTGCAGTCACTGGTTCTGAAGAGCAACGCTCTTAAGGAACACTCTACCCCTCCCTTCCAGCACACCACCTGCACTCTCAAAAGGGGACTGAGGTCAATAAATCACGTCCCTGTCTCCTTCTAGCACCTATTTGTTTCAGTGCCTCACCCTGGAACAATAAATTTTCTCAGATCACCAATGCACAAGAAGATGAAACTATTAAACACACTACGGAAAACACTACTCACTAAAAATTTCCACTGCTTGACTCCCAGTTGAGGGAAAGACAAAGAAAAGCTGAAGCTCCTGCTGCCTGTCCCTAGAGCCTCCTGATGTTTACCATTGCTGAAATCAAGTGCACTCCCAAGAGCTCTCAAGTGAGAGCAGACGGGAATGAAGGGCGTCTAGAAGCCTGTGGGGTGGCTACAAGCGCGAGTCTGAGCTCCCAGGACTGGGGCTCCAGTCTCGAGCTGAAAGACAGTTCCACAAGTGAAAAGATACCAACCCTCTCCACAGTCTTCCATTAAGACTTTAGGTAGCACAGGTTCCCTCAGAGGCAGGGGAAAGACCCACAAACTTGAGAACTGAATTTATGTGACAAGATTAATAGCTTCCATTTATTGGGCAGCTACATGTTGAGCACAATACAAACATTACTGTAAGTCCTTAACCTGCTGTACCTTTTTAATCTTGAAAAAACCCTTTAAGGAAGGTGTTACAGACCTACAACCCACCTGAAATCTTCATGGCCAGCGGCATGCAGCAGAATTCAGATTTTTTTGTGTTGTAGAAAACAGGAGATAAAATGCATATACAGCCACAGTCATTGTGGAGCAGCATCCCATAATTGATCTTAACATTTCTTCAGCAAAACATTTGAATATTTATACTAACTGGGGTCACTTCAGTTTAGAGCAATTTTTTTTTTTTTGCTACAAAATAACCTTGAGCCAGACTTATTACCAAACTCCTTGTTTTCAGATAATTTTGGAGTTGGGAAATGTGATGCAGGGACTGTGATCTGGTATCTGCATCACAGGTGAACACACTGTTGCTCTGAGGTTAAATGACCAAAAGTTATTCAGATTAACAGAGTCAGGATTTAGACTTATCGGACTTACGATATTTGTCTAAATAGCAGGATTGAAGCGTGACAGATGCTGGAACTGCATGTTTACAAAACACCTGCTCTCCCCATTATGTACCCTCAGGAATGTCACACCTTGCAGGTGGCAGTAGGCCCTGGATTTACTGATATGCTCCTAAAAATTTGGTATAAATCAAGTTTATTGAACTCTGAATTCCTATAGCCAAATCCTGCTGATAGAAATAACCATATCTGATAAGTACAAATCCCCCTAACTTCTTTGTTACTTAAGAGAGAAACTAATATGTTAAGTGAAGGAAAATGGTTTTTGCTGTTTGCTCTAATTTGAGGTACACTCAACTATGTTAAAATGGCTCACAGGGTTAAAAAGGGCTCAAAACTGCAACTAACAAAACCAATAATGTCGTACAGTATTGTTCATCAAATCTCAGAGCTAGAAGAGGGACTAGCCCGAGTGTCTGTTTAAAAGATTTAAAAAGATGATACTGTGAAAAGCTTTTCTCCTACCCCTTTACCATGGCCACCCACTTCTTTCTCTAGAAGTACCCAATGCTACCACTTTTCCCAACAGTCTTATTTTACAGCGAGAAAAATGAGACACAGAGAAGTCCAGTCTCCGGACCCAAATCTCAACATTACAAATTGAATACCCTGACTTCAGACTCTCAGATCAAGATCTTTACCTATCTTGTTCACTGCTGTTATCTCCAGTTGTTGAAGGAAGGAAGAGAGGAGGAGGGAGGAAGGAAGCTAAAGCACAGCAGAAGCAGGAAGGGAAGAAAAGTGGTAGGAGGATGCCTGCTATGATGTGGGAACACGTGACAGCGCTGGCATTTGATTGGCTGTCGGGAACAGCCAAAGCCTATGCTCTTTATCCCACCAGGTGGCCTCCAAACCAGAAAACATGGAGGCCTCCAGACAAGCCTAAGTTGGCACCCTGGCACGACCACAAAGGAGCTGTGTGACCTCACAAAAGTTATTGTATTCCTTTATGCCACCATTTCCTAATCTGTAAAATGGCAGCAATAATAGGACTCTCTCTCTTCAGGGTTGTTGTCAACATTGACTAGTGTGGTTAAGCTATAAATGGCTGCAAAATTTTGTGGGTCTTTTGATTAGGAGATGGGACCTTTCTCCACCTCCTCTGGGCTTTCCTTTTGATTTTTTTTCTGGCCCCAAAGTAGCAAATGTAACTAGAGCAGAGACCTGAAAAGTGCATGCACACTGAACTTTGTGCTCTTCCAGCCACGAGGAGGAGCATCTGGGGCTGGCCTGCTGGATGAGACACGCACATAGCCCAGTGTGCTAACCACCAGGTGGTCCAGCCACAGCTGAATGGTTCAGCTGAGCAAACCCAGGAGAAATCAACCAAGCTGGCCCAGGCTAGAACTCCCCTGTTCTAGAGATGTGTGAACTCAGCTGTCATTTTTGGTCAGTTTGTTTTTTTTAATTTAATTGTGGTAAATAAACATAATATAAAATTTACTGTCTTGAACATTTTTACACGTGGGGTTTAGTACTGTTCAGTACATTCACGCTGCCGTGCAACCAGTCTTCAGAACTGAGCCACCCAGTTTCGGGGCTTCTTACTCAATGATAGCTGCTTGTACGCTGAGGGAACAGGCTTAAAAAGCTTAGCACTGTGCCTAGCAAACATAGGAACTCAATAAATGATGACTATTATTATTATTAACATCATCATTAATTTGATTAATCTAGCTTACAATATAATCTCCTACTTCTACTCACCTACCAGAGGCGTGGTTCAGAAACACTGCTTTCATCATGACCTAGTTCTGCTTTAACCATTACCTGTCTGACCAAGCACAGCTCAGCTTCTGTGTCCCCACCCACACTCACCCAACTTCATACTTGCAGTCTACATGCTTCAGTGCCAGCCAGGGTGGGTTCCTTATCATTCTACACGCTTCATGCTGGATCCTACCTACACGACTTGGCTCGTGCTGACTTTTTCCACTGAGAATCCTCCCTCCTAGTCTAAAATCTAATACCTCTTCAAGGCCCCAACCCTTACAAAGCACGATTCCTGTGTTTTCTGAAAACTTTTCACTGTGAAACATTTCCATTTCAGTAAAAATTCCTGAAATCAAAATGTCCTTCAAATTACTTGGCACTTCTTAGGTTATCTCACTTTTGCACACCTATTCTCCATTAGACTGTGTTTCGAGCAGGCATTTCCCACTTTGCATCCATCATACAAAAGTGTATTCATCTGAAAGACGATCATACCATATGATCTCACCTTTAACAGGAACCTAAACAACAAAACAAAGAAACAAGGAAAATATAGTCAAAGACATTGAAATAGAGGACAGGCTGACAGTGACCAGAGGGGAGAGAAGAGGGAATTTCAGGGGAGAATGGGAAGGGTTTACA